CCCCCAGACACACACACTTCAAACTTGTTTACACACACCCTGGTTTGCAGGCCAAAGTCTTCCCAGAACACAATGATCCTGGACTTTGCTACAGGTGTGTGTGTGTAAGCGAGCATGTCTTCCTGTGTACAAGTAAGACTGAGTTACTCACATGGACAAGTCAGGAGATGGACCTGTCCCGCTATCAGCTAGGATCCCAAGGTGGCTCAGCGTTGAAGTCAAAGTGCTCCCGGTAAAGAGCCGCCCCTAGGCCCTCTGGGTAGCACTCATACACCTGTGCAGAGACAGGGGAGCCCTGAGGGACAGACATATTAGACATGAATACACAGTAAAGACGCTGTAGAAGGAGGACATGAACCATATGTTTATCTCAAGAAATACACAGTGGTTTTGGCTAGACTGGTCAGTCATTTTGATTGCATCTATGGCTTCACTTTTGTTGTCACTGTGGTCAACATTTCAGTAACAATTGTTATGTTAAGCAACTCTCGCGCCACTTTACGTGACTTGTTTTTTTTAACCCAATAAACACCCAGTATTTTATTTCTGACAAATATCATCATCTCAGCTGCCTGTTTTTAAATACAAAGTTAACGTTAGTCCACACTGTACGATAACTGTCTAAATAAAAACAGTGACAGTGCGAATACTGTACAATAGTTGACAAATGAGATAACGTTTTTATTGACGTAATACGTCACTAAAACAAAAAATGAAATCCTATACCATACAAATGTATTTAAGTGTTATATTTAAAACGTAAAACATAGGAAACGCACATCGCCAGGAAACGCGCTGCTGACACTCCTGGCAGCGAGAGAGCTGCCCATGTTGAGCTGACGTCGAAGGAAGAAGCTTATGTTAGCACTGTATTTTGTTAATAACCCCCCAAACAATCCTAAACACGGATACAACACATGAATAAACACTGGAACGAGGAGACAAAATAGCTTCGTAATTTACCAGCACCTTTAAATTTAACGTTAATGTACGTCAAAAACACAGTGAAATGAATCGGTTTGTCGTGTGCGGCAAGAAGAAGGCAGAAAGACCAGCCCGCCATGTTACGTCCGCCTGCTGAATCCAAGCAACTCAACCGAAGTGTTTCGCTTTACTTACGTGAGGTAACGGCCAGAATGTTTTGGAAAATCGTCTTCTCTTTTTCGGCGGAATTTTTAAAGAGTAGTGGGCACAACGATATAAGAAAGAAAGAGGGCTGTTCTCGCCATATGTTTAGCGGGGGGAAGCGCGTCGGTCTGGCTGCGTCTTCTCTTTCGGTTGACGGGCGGAGCTCTACTGAGGCCGAGTAGGGGAAGAGGAAAAGGTAATCAACGTTCCGTGGGCGGAGCCTGATGTTCAGTTCCACCAATCAGCTCTCGGCATTTTTGAGAACATACCAAATATGCATTTCCGATTGTCACACGGGCCGCGGTATCTTTGTGAAGTTACATAACCATAAACTTTCCGTAGATGGCCACTTGGTTCAGTCAACTAAGCCAACGGCTCTTGTTTACATGGGACAATGCAAATAAACCTGTAGTGTAGTACATTATCACTGAACACCTCCATATTGCACACATTCATTATTCTTTTTTGTTGTTGTTGTATTTTGTCAATTTTATATTTATATATTTGTACAAATCCTCTCACCCTGTAATATGTTTGGACAACACAAATCCGGTAAGTAAAACACATGTAAATAACTGCCACAATGTTTTGTTTTTCTTTTACACATAGTTATAATTATTATTAATTATTATTAAAATTCTAATTATTACAAGTTATAGGAGGCTAATTATTTTATAACTTGCATCTATTTATTCCATATATATATATATATATATATATATATTTTAAAACCTATTTATGTCAACTGTATGTTTATGTCTAGCAAATTCCTCCTACATGTAAAATACTACTTGGCAATAAAGCTCTTTTTGATTCTGACATTTACTCAAGTACTCTTCTCAAGTAACCTACCATTTTGAGGTTATTTTATGCTGCTTCATATTTCTACTCCACTACATTTTGGAAGCCATTATTGTACTTTTTACTCCACTAGGCTATATCTATTTGACAACATTAGTCAATAGCTGCTATGCAGATTCAGATTATTAATACAAAATATCAATCAACTAATGCATTATAATGTACTATTATGATTATGATATTACACTTCCCAGCAATAGAATATTTAGATATAGATACAACAGAGTGATTATGAGTCCAACCTTTACCAGCTGCAACAATGATGATGCATACACATTATTGCATCAGTAATTATGATCCAGTGATATATATTATTATGAAATGGGGCATTTTGCGAGTACTTTTACTGTTTAAGTATATTTTAAAGCCTTTTAATGCTCATTTTCTAAAAATTTGAGTGCAGGACTTTTGCAACAGCACATTTTTGCACTATGGTATGTACTTACATATGGTATGTACAACATCTGACAACTGAGATATGATTTATATATAGGAGACAAAATAATTTCATACAGTCCACTTTCAGATATACAAGCATACATTTTAAGCATAATAGTGGTGAATACTGAACAGTGTTTTCATGAAAATATTGAGACTCAATCAAAACAATGGCACAACAAAGACAAAACATACAAAATGTGCCTCAGTCTAAGTGTTGGATATTTGTGTCACATGGAATCTAGGGGATTATTAGGATTCAGGAGCTTATTGAATATTTTGTTGATTAGTCTTTAAGCCTTTGTCCCACTCACTTCTAGTCCTATTTCAGCTGCAATAAGTGAATGTTTTATGTAATTCAGTATGATGGGAAGATGGCATGGTGGTCAGGAGTTCAGTACAACACTGAAAGAGCATAAGAACTCAGCCCGCAGCCACCTTAGTCGTATGACTTGTGTTTCCGTGGCTCTGGGGTAACACACGGCATGGCTCCATCTGTCTGTCTAGCTGTCTGGCTGTCCTATAGCTCTTATCTTTAGTCTGTGACAGTCACTCCAAAGGACACTGTGTTCACAAGACCACAACATAGCCTAGAAAACATGGGATTCTAAACAACAATTTAGTTTGCGGGCTCTCAGCTGGCTGAGCTTCTTTAGTAGAGACCAACTGACTGAATTTATGGATTCACACTGTACAGTCATGCTAATGGCCTGGAGGTACGTACTACAGGCATAGATAATCATACTGGGCCATACACTTCTCACTTCTGAGAAATAAGCTTTACTTCTACTTATAACTAACTTTTAATCTATTTGGGACTACTGGGACAGTTAAGTCAGTGTATATTGTAAATTAATTATGTGAAATATTTGATACAAGATAAAGTGCAGAGCCATAAATAATAGAAAGATGACAGTAAAAACAAGTTCTGTTCATTTGTTCCTGTTTTAGTTAACAGATAAGAGAGTTTTGGGTTATGGCTGCACAATTAATCAAGACTGGTGAAAAAGCTTTGATAATTATTCTAAATGGGTATATAATTCTGTTTTCTTAAATAACTTCACATTTTTATATTCATGATGTAACAAATACAAAGTATAAAGTAAAGTATGCCATTCAAGGTTCACATCAGGGTCCATGAGTAACATTAGTAAATTAGATTTTGTGCTTCAGACCCACTGAGTTCAGTTAAATGCCTTCAGTGTCCTCAGGAAGCAAATGAAATTTGCAACTAGAAGTAAAAGATAAACAACTTTCAATACCCCCTGCATTCCCACAAATCCAAAATAGAAACATTTCCAAACTACGATGAGTTAAGTAATACAACTTATGTTAGTGTAAGGGATGAGTGGCCGGGCAGATATATCTGCCAATATATATGACAGCTGAGAAGTAACAAGAAATATCCATAAAGAAATGCCCAAAATATTTTGTCCTAATTACATAGTTTGTCACCCAGGAAGTACTGACTGTTAATACCCACTATTTTCAATTGTAAAATGTCCTGCAAAGTACATGCATATGTTGTTCACAATAGGCCAGTACACATTTGGAAAAGCACAGGTGTTACTAACAAGATTAATGATGGCTCTGTTCAAATCAAGTGTTCCAGTAAGTCATGATAATGTGACAGTGAACCTGCGAACAAAACCAGGACCTTGAAATGGAAGCAGCTAAATGGAATTCAACCATCATTAATTTGATTATTTACACCTGTGAATTTCTTACTGTGACATATAACAGATTAAAACTCTCAAATATTGATACTGGTATCAGCCTATAAAATCCAGCATTGGCCAGACTTTTGTGTAATAGTTAAAGTAGCTCCAACCCTAATGATGACACTAAAAAGGTACAGGCGGACGCAAACTCTCTTGCTTTATACTTTAACTCTAGGGACAGTTAGATCAGATGGTAATATGGTTTATTTGTATGTTTGTTATCATGGACAGGTGTTGTTGCATGAATGCAATTAGCTGATCAGTCCACTCTAATGAAATTGATAGTTTATAGGCACCTATACACTGCAACCTTAGGCAGTTAAACGTTGTAATGTAGTTGTTACAGTTTACCAGAAGAGGTCGATATTGAGAGTTATCATAATTTCCAGGAATGTGGGAGAATAATACTGAGTTTAGGGCAAGTAAGTAATAATAATAACAGGAGGTAAAACACATCTAGACAATATTAATCTAACCAATTAGACCTCATAAAATGAATTTCCTCTTCTCCACCCAGCTGTTAATATCACTATCTTTCTAAAATAAAACAGCTAATGTTACAGCAAAAACTAACTTTGCATTCGTACTGCTACCACTGGCTGAACGTTTTAAACCATTTATTAATTACTTTTAGCTACCAGTTTCAACATTTTACCCTTAACCTTTAGCAATGTTACCTTTTATCTCTTACATTTAGCTATTTTAAACTTTTCCCACTTCACTTACACATAGTCTATTAACATTACTTTAAGCTAGCAGGCTCACTATCGCTCATGGCTGACTCAACCTGCGGAGTCTGAACAACACGAGGACATGTCGGTCACGTGAAGGCAGCATAGCACGCAGCCATTGCGCAGACGCACAACTACTGGCCTGATCAGCTGACTGTGAGTAAGATGCTCTGTTGACGGCTGAAGGACTATTGACGTGAAACCCTGCTTTTATCTGCGATATGTATGGGAAACTGCGACTATTTATCTGAATTAAACCGCGCGGAGCAAATACTGAAGCCATTAAACACGTCGGTAAGTACGAAAATACACCGATTACTGACGTCGTGACAGCGTGAGACTGCAATGCAAAACAAGCTCATGTCAGCAGCAAGCTAACACTGAATTTAACCATGTACGAACCAGGTATAAATCACTGTCTGTCAGTGATTTATATTAGAGAATGATTAACAAAGCAAACCTAAAGCGCAGGAGCTCTTAGTCACGTGATGCCCGTGGAGTTTGGACCAGTATTTAGCACGTTTTCTGCAGCACAGAAACTGATCATATGACAGTAAATCAGCAGACATGGAGACCTGTCTGTCTCTCCTGTGCTTTACTGATGTAATCGACCTGTGTGTGTGTGTGTGTGTGTGTGTGTGTGTGTGTGTGTGTGTGTGTGTGTGTGTGTGCAGTCACAACCATGGAGAAATGTGAGGAAGTTCATGAATCAGAAGCAATATAGAAGTCTAAAGAGAAACAGACTGATTCATTTTATAAGGGTACTTACAACTATCTATAATACAACTAATCTATATTTTATGCACTGGTGGAAAAATTCTCTTTACTTTTGTAGTAATATCATAATTTGAAAAATCCAAATACTAAAAGTCATGCATTCAAAGTTTTACTCAACTATATGTAGTTGTAAATTGTGATAAAGTCTTATCAGCACATTAAACCGTAATGTCTTAAGTAAATTATGCAGCGTTTTATGGGATCATATTTAATATATTATTGGATTATTATTATTGATGCATTAACATGTAAGCAGCATTATAAAGTTGTAGCAGTTTGAGGAGGAGCCACTGTAGGAGTTTAATCTATACCAAGGCATCATCTTTACAAGTTGTTTGTTGTTTAGCTTAAAAATCTTAGCATCCAAAGTAACTAGCAAATATGAGCAGATAAGGTGTAGTAGGAGTGGAAGTATTTAGTAGCATGGAAAAATTGCTGAGGAACATATATAAATTTCCCATCATTTTGAGTTCTCTAAGTTATATTTAGAGCACCATGAAGGAGTGGGAAATCTGGATAACATCCTAAATCATACCACATCTCATTTTATTTTATTCTGTTATACATATATATTATTATATTGTGATACAGTAGAATTCACAGAAAATCAGTGGGGAAACAAAGCACTTCATGATACTGATGCAAAAATACAAAATTAGCATAAAGCAGTCCTGTTCAGTGAATGGCACAATGGCTTAATACAGCCAGAGATGTTTAAAGAATAGCTACCATGGTACAACAATGTTTGTGATGGCTGACACATTTTTGATTTTGTCTCACTGTCATATCATCATCACCCACCCCTAATAATATATCTTCTCTAAAGAGAAAACTCTCTCTTTACTTGCCAGAGTCAGCCACAGAGCAGCCACCCTGGAACAAGTCACAGCAGAGTTCTAATAATGCTCTTTCTCTTACTCCACCCTCAGTGACCTCCTCACATCGAAGGCCCGCTGCACAAACCTCTTACCAGCAGCCATGACAGAATTCTGGTTGATTTCTGCTCCGGGGGAGAAGACGTGCCAGCAGACGTGGGACAAGCTGATGGTGGCCACCACGCGCACCAACAACCTCTCTGATAACAACAAGTTCAACATCCCTGATCTCAAGGTTAAACAGTCACCTGTGTTCTCCACCATAGCGAATCCACCCACAAGTGGTCGTAGTAGTTAACATTTTGTGTGTTTTGTCTCCAACAGGTCGGAACACTGGATGTCTTAGTGGGTCTGTCGGATGAACTGGCTAAACTAGACACTTTTGTGGAAAGGTACATTTTGCAATTACCAACACCTACCTCTACATGTTTTTACTTAGTTGAAAGCATTTGAAAAATGCCTTCTGCATTTGTTGGGCAGTAGGAGACTCGTGAGCTCAGTTTTGTGACAAACACATGTCACATTTCAATACAATTCTGACTCTCCTTGTCATTTATTGTTTCTCTTGTGTTTATTTCGGACCCCTTGTGCTTGTCTCTTGACGCCTCTCCTCACCCCGTGTCGTGGCTCAGTGTGGTGAAAAAGGTCGCTCAGTACATGTCTGATGTTCTGGAGGACAGCCGAGACAAAGTCCAGGAGAACCTGCTTGCTAACGGAGGTAATCACTGTTAACATAATCATCAGACTGATGCCTGGGCACTTTCAGTGTCTTCAGTGGTTGCCAGTGTGAAGAAAGACACGATGGGTTACTGTGTATTCAGATATACAGTCATTTATATCGTTTTGTATAAATTGTGTATTTATATTTGCTTATATTTTGTTTTATTTATTTATCTAGTTTGTGTTTATGCTGCACACTGCCAAAGGGCTGCCAAACAGATTTGAATTGTTTTGTACACACAATGACAATCTATTCTATCCTATAGAACACAACAGAAATGGAGGTGATTTTTGCTGATGTCTTTAATCTGTTATATTTTAACTATCTACAGTTGACCTGGTCACCTACATCACCAGATTTCAGTGGGACATGGCCAAGTATCCAATCAAACAGTCGCTGAAAAACATCTCCGAGATCATCTCCAAGGTATGTTGGACAATCTGCTCACATGTACACATAGTGTTTGATTATTGTCCTGCTTTTGCAAATATAATTTTAATCAGGCAATATCATTGACATTAAAATCACTTTTGCAAGCGAGACCTTGTGCAACAGACTAAACAGCTACAGAGAATAAACATAGCCAGTAACACAAAAACATAAATGGGAATAAAAACAATTATATATTCATATAGTTAGTAGTATTCATTCTCTCCTACTTGGTTTCTAGCAAGCGACTCAGATAGACAATGACCTGAAGGCCCGAGCTTCAGCCTACAACAACCTGAAGGGAAACCTGCAGAACTTGGAGAGGAAGAATGCGTGAGTAATAATAATAATAATAATAATAATAATAATAATAATGAAAACTCTGTATGTTGTCTGTTATTTGGTTACAGAAGTATTGTCTAAAGGCAGATACTGTAGCACTTTTAGCTTGATCACATCCAATTAGCTTGTATTTTATCTCTGGTTATTTTCTTGTACAACAGAATGATGTAGTGAACCTCAACCCCTTGAATAATATGCTTTTAATACCCCTTTAATAATATACATTTTTGATAGCACCCTCTCCCTGAGCTCCTGCTGTAACTTCAAGAACTAGTCCTTTGTAATAAAATTTAGATGTACAACATTTTTTGTGTGCATCTTTAAGGAAGATGGGGAAATATTTAAAATAATTTGGTTAAATTTGTGCACTAACCATCGTATATTTTGGACTCAAGTTGCCTGAACTTGCCTGAACTGCATGTGTCTTCCTTTAGGGGGAGCTTGTTGACCAGAAGTTTGGCTGATATAGTGAAGAAAGAGGACTTTGTACTGGACTCGGAGTACTTGATTACAATGTTGGTGGTAGTCCCAAAGTAAGTACTCTACATCATTATCTATGTATTCAGTATGTGGTGAGGTAGGAATGCCATTCTGTCCATGGCAGATATCATGGAGATTCCCTCCTGATTACAGCTAAAGAACTGTCTGAAAACTTTATTTTGCAGAAATGTTCTTTTTTTCATCCATGTTGTTTCCAAGTACATTTCAAAGGGGACAGCGTGAGTTACATGGGGTACTTGTCACTTGTCACACACAAACTGTGAAAAGAATTTCACGTCAGAGTTTCAGTGTCCCAGCGGCATTATAACTGAATACATTTTGGTCGTGGAAATGGTCATTCTGTAATGCACTGAAAACATCAGCATTGGTATTTTTGATATGTAAAATACATTGCTGTTATCTTTCTACCCTCATCAGGACAAGCTATGCTGACTGGCAGAAGACATATGAAACCCTGTCAGAAATGGTCGTGCCACGCTCCACTAAGTAAGGATAGCCAGATGATTCATTGATTTTGCTCAATTTGTGAATGATCCACCACAGGAAGATGGCATTTAACGTACAACATTTTTACTCTGAAGCCTAGTGTCGTAACCATTGTTTTTGTATGGATGGTAGTTTGTGTTCATTCATGTCACAATTTTAAAATCTTGTTTTCTTGAAAACTGTCTCAAACCCAAACACTTGCCTTGCTTTCTTATGTTGTCTACAGTTGGTTTAGTGTTGACTAATTCAAATATGAAAACATTTATGGTTAAACTGTGAAAAGCAACTGACACATATTAATATAGGAATAGGAATTGCACAGATGACGTTTTGTTATAATGGGCAGATGATTTGAGTCGTTTACCACACCACGTTTAAAATGAGAAACTTGGAATAGCAAACACAGTGTGCCTTTGGAGCACAGTGTTGATGGTTGATGATCAATTTGATGTTATTTATCAGTTGTATTAATGGGAAAAAAAAACTGTGTTTCTTTTGAAAACAAGGAATTTTCTAAGTGACTCCAAACATTTGAACCCATTATATATGGTGTGAGATGACATTGCTATTTTGTTCAATGTTAGATATAAAAGATGTTAGCAACATTAAGTTTTGACCTGTGATTTTTCCGCGATTTAAAAAATCACTGAATTAACCAGCATCAGACTTTCCCTTGTGATTGTTTTTTCTATAAAGGATTTCTTTCTTTCTTTCTTTCTTTTTCTGTATCAAAACATGTATCAATATTGCATTATACTATTAAACATACAACATTTTACCGATGTAACCAGCCCTTACCTGGAAGGCTGTAGCACCACATATTTAGCAAAGACAAATACATGATGCTATTTGTCAGGGGTGGAAGAAGTATTCTGATCTTTTACTTAAGTAAAAGTAGGAATACCACAGTGTAGAAATACTCTGTTACAAGTAAAAGTCCTGCATTCAAAAATGGACTTAAGTTAAAGTACATAACACAAGGATGTCGTTTTGTATGTGAAAGCCTGCTAACATGTTTCCAACACACGGTGTGTATCACGATGTTGTGTCCTCCCCTCCAGGCTGCTGTTTGAAGACCACGACAGCGGCCTGTTCAGCGTCACTCTCTTCAGGAAGGCTATAGATGACTTCAAGCACAAGGCCAGAGAAAACAAGTAAATTATTCCATTTCGGTGTTATCATAAAAAATTAGCTGTTAACAATGTGTAACGTATATAAGAGTAAAATTTGAAGTGGACTGAGTTCCACTTGTTTTGGCCTTTGTTTTTAGTAATTAGTAATAATTGCAGATTATGTTTCCTTTTTGTGTTTTCCATGAATGGTGTTTATGTATCCTTATTTATTCCTGGAAATCAACCACAGACAAATAATAGTAATGATACCCAATGATTGAAGTGGGCTACATATTTTTAAATACAGGAACTGGCTTGTTATGCTCTAAAATAAACACTCGACAGTCCCTATAAAATTTGCACATCAGAATGTGTTTATGGATATATGTCTGTGTGTTTGTATGTACATGGCTCATTATCAAGAGGGCACAGTGTGTGTGTTTACTGACAACTTATTGTGTGCTCTCTGCTGTGTGTCCTGACCTAGGTTTACAGTGCGTGATTTCCAGTATAATGAGGAGGAGATGAAAGCAGACAAAGAAGAGATGACACGTTTGTCCACTGACAAGAAGAAACAGTTTGTATGGCTGCTGTTTTCTTCACAAACTGTGCTAGTGACTAAGTAGGAAAGGAAGAATTTAACGGAGCTCAGTCTGTAACAGGGGAAAGAGTACTACCCTTTTATAAATGTTTGGCTGCAGACGAATTTTTATTTCTTAGTCAGTGTTTAATATGAGCATACACAGTCCTGCAGCTTATGTAAGATAATGGAACCAATGATCATTTATATAAATCTTACATTATGCTTACTGATAATTCATAAGGAATATTTAATAAAAAAAAACATCCAAAATGGGAGTGCTTCATTTCAGTGAGTTTACAGGTATGTTATCTTTATTAGAAACTATTAAAATGCTATTTCCATCTACCCAGGGGCCTTTGGTACGATGGCTGAAAGTGAATTTCAGCGAAGCCTTCATCGCATGGATCCACATAAAAGCCCTGCGTGTGTTTGTGGAGTCTGTATTGAGGTAAGCAAGTAAAGACCCGGGATGAACCAAACTCTGTGAAGTTAATCTATCTAGACTGGCACAGACACACTTTGGTAACAGCAAGTTTAGGGCTTCCATTCATTTGTGCATTCATCCATTTAATGGAAGATTTGTTTAATGTTCTAAAGGATGGCCTGACATGCTCGTTGTGTTTCTTATAGATATGGGCTGCCAGTGAACTTCCAGGCCATGCTGCTGCAGCCCAACAAAAAGAACATGAAGAAGCTGAGGGAGGTGCTGTACGACCTGTACAAACACCTGGACAGCAGCGCTGCGATCATTGATGTGAGTCTCCTCCACACACCCTTTGACAGTCGCAGCAGTGAGTGAAATTATTGGAGGAAGTCCAGTTCACTCTCAAGATCAATCCAGCTCATTTATAAGAACCAGGTATTTAGGAAGACTGAGTCTATCCCGGCATGTCCTGATTATCGCTTCAGGATGGGGGGGAAAATCACCCTTTTATTTCTGTTAGGCCTGTTAAACGTACATCTTCTTAACTGGATGTGACTGATGTCTTTACATATTACTGACTGATGCCACCTGGCTGCGGACCACATTGGGGACAATAAAAAAGGTATTGAGTGCAGTCCTACAGAAGCCCAGAAATCATTCATCATGCTAGGGGAACATTGCACTGCTTTAGGTCCAGAAGCAAGGAGAAGCAAGGAGGCTCTGGCAAGCTCTTAAATCATTTTATCACCACTGTATACATTTTGAACAAAAGGAACAGCCTTATAGCCTTGTAAATCCATTCCTCATTTGCTGCACCGCATCCTCCCTCCTGTATGGCCTGACTGGTATCACCTCAGTAGCCATGAAGACAAATTACGTTTCTAGTGAAAGAAAACAAACAAAACATTTGTATCATTAAACTTTCAAGGGAACTAACTGTAATAAAAGAAAAATACTGACATATGGAGACAAACAAGAATGATGTGTGTGTAATTATTTTGTCTTGCTGTATCTCTGTTGTGCCTGTAGGCCGCTATGGACATCCCAGGGCTGAACTTGAGCCAGCAGGAGTACTACCCCTATGTTTACTACAAGATCGATTGCAACCTGCTGGAGTTCAAAGTCTAGGCTGATGTGACATATTCACACTAATTTATTTCCACTGCTACCCTGTTCTGCCTGTTTCCCCCCCCCAGACTTTTTATGTTCTGGACCTCTTTTTCTTATGTGCCTGGTACATACCTGGGTTAATATTGAATAAGTTGTGGAACTTCTGTTCTAACATAGTTGACAAATGTGGGCCCACTTCTTTGTTGTCACTTCCTCTTCGTACCATGCTGTAAAAGTGAATAGCTTTCCATATTTATTCCCACCAAAATGGCTGACATTCCCTCATGGCATCAAAGGACATGTAAAATACTACATTTTTATTGTTTTTTTTTTCCCTGTCACCCTACTTTGTTTAAAGCAACAAAAACGGTACACAAGTGGGGGAAATGGCGAGGAAGATAAATATATGTTAAATATATTATTTATTTAAAGCCTCTAAAATCAGTGAATGTGTTTTTGTTTGTTCGGTTTTTGAAAGTGATGTGTTTTTAGCTCCATGTAAGGATTGTCTGTTCACAAGTAGATGTTGATCATCGTTTCCCCTACTCAAGCTATAATCCTATGAAATACAGAGACAGGTCATTTTACATATAAAGAAGCAATATGTTTGCTGATTGTAAGCTCCTATAATTTCTGTGTTTGAGAAAAGTAATTATGTCTATGTGCAAATACTGTATTGTCAGTATATCTGAAGATTGAACCACATATTTAAAATAAATGTTAAAAATAAATACTCTATGTGAAACATACTGGACTTTGGCTCACTGTCAGTCTCATGTAAGGTGTATAAAGATAAAAGCCTGTTAGTAAAAGAAGACTAGAAAATCAATTCTATTGGACGCCATTCAAATCAGGACTACAGTTTTAGAGAGAAATAATTTTCTTTTCATATTTTGTAATTCTTGATATTTCTCCACTAGATACTTAATAAATACATTTTTGGGTATCCCTTTCTAATAAACTCCCTTCATAAATGATTTATAATTGATCACTTATAAGACATTAATTGACTATTGGGATAGTCAAGTCATGAAAAGTATCTTTGGCTGGTCACTTGCTGTGTTCCTTTTCAGCTCTTTGATTATTCAGGAAGGCTGCTCCAATGGACCAAGAATGGACCCCCTCTGGGAAAGGTTTGCTGAACATCTGAACCAAAATCCATCTCTTGATATTTACAACCGCAGATTTGATGGATTATTGTAAAACCCCTTGATGATGTGCTGAACTCCAACTTTTAAAATCAGCATCTTTTGAATTGCATCTGAAAAACAGACAGCGTGTGTTGTGCATGTGTGTGTGTATATATATGTATATAAGTATATTGGTCTTTTCATTTACAGTCCTGCTCACCATTATTGGCATGACTTTATGAAAAAAAAAATGAATCAAGGGAAACAATTCTGTTCTATAGAGAACTTGTGATTGATACAAAAGGTCAAATGATAAATAACAATAAACAATGGGAGGGAAAAAAAAAATCTTAAAGCTTGCTGTGTCACTGGTATTGGCACTGTTTGCTGTAAATCAGTATGGAAACACATTGTGACTCACCTGTGGTAAATCACAAATGAGAATCAACTGTGATAAATTGTCTGTGCCCATGTGACATGAGTTAGCCAATGAATGATGACTTCTGTGTTTTAAAAAGCCATCTGTTATCCCCTGTTCCTTTGTCACAATGGCGTTGTCTGAGGACATCAGAAGTGCAATAATTAGCAAACACAAGACCTCCAAAAGGTATAAGGCCATCTCCAAAGACCTTGGTATCCCTGTTTCAACAGTGTGTAATGTTATTAAAAAGTTTGCCAAGCATGGAACTGTCAAGAACCTCCCTGGACGTAGGGGGGAAGAGAAAAATTGTTGAGAGAAGTCTGCGAAGGTTGGTGCGAATGGTGGACAAAACACCACGTCAAATATCCAAAGACCTGAAGGCCAACCTGGAACAGTCTGGGGTCATGGTTTCAACAAGTACCATACGCCGCACACTAAACCAAACAGGGCGAAGGCCAAGGAAGACACCATTGCTGAGGAAAAGACAAAAAGGAACGACTAATCTTTGCCAAAGAGTACCTGGAGAAACCACAATCCTTCTGAAGAAGTGCAAGAAGCTTATAGATGGCTACAAGAAACGTTTGTCAAATAATGGTGAGCACGACTGTAGTTCTTTTGATTTGTCTTACATTTTCACTGTTAACTTGATATTTATCATGTTATGTTTGACGGTGGTAAAGCAATGTGTAATCACTGATTTTGATAAGTGCTATACTGTATACATTAACTTTATTATCTATTTTCAATATTAACATTTTAAAACAGCAGATATGGTGGCTTATTAGAAAGGGAAAACTCATCACCCTCCATTAATGTATTACCTTTGTAGGCCTACTAACATTTATAAATACATTACTACCAAGATAGATAAATACCTTCACAACCTGGCATCCCATTAGGCTACTTTTTAGTAATGCCTTCTAACTGATCTGAAATAATTAATAAAGCCACTATTTCGCTATTTAAAGGGTACATAATGAGTGGTTGGAGTTTTTGTGTTATTTAAACTAACCTCTTTTGATTCTTTTGATTTTACTCCATTTTTAGGAGTCCAGAAATCATTTCTAAAAAGAACAAAGAGCAAAGATGATGAGGATGGCGTAGTGGCTAAGACACATGCCTTTGGTGTGAGAGACCTGTGTTCAATTCCCCACTGTGACACATACACTAATGTGTCCCTGTGCAAGACACTTAACCCCTAGTTGCTCCAGAGGCGACCTCTAACATAAATAGCAATTGTATGTCGCTTTGGATAAAAGCGTCAGCTAAATATAGAATATTTTGCAACAAAGTCGCCCTTCATTAATAAGCAAAAAAAAAATTAATAAATGGGTTTATAAATGCTAAATAGGGGGACTACAGTGTTTCCATGATTATAATTGCCCATAAGTGCATATTTGCATAATGATGATGATGATGATGGTGACAGTAGCTGGAGACGATTTCCCTCACTGCCAATCAGCGGTCAGACTGGATGCAGTTTTACCTCCCCCTCCATCCCCCTCCATCCCCTCTGGATGACGCAGATAGCTAGTGTGTTAATGTTGGACAGTTGCTGTCTGTGGAGAGCAACGTCGCCCAGCAGCAGCAGCAGTAGCTCCCACTGATGATGGGAAGGGAAACACGGATAGACCTGCAGTAGAGATCCGGCGAAGATGCCGCGGTCGTCGTGCGACAAACCGAGCCGTGTTTAGCCCGTGTCAGCTGCACCTGCCGTGGATGCTTTTCTCGATGGGTTGCGGAGGGAGTCGGGCCGACGCGATCATCGAGCCGAGGTACCATGAGAGCTGGACCAGGGAAACGGAATCGACGTGGCTTACCAATACGGACGTAGAGACCTCTTTAACAGTAGCAAACAGTAAGAGCCTCTGTCGTGTTTGCATTGCATGCACCATGGGCCACATTACATTCAAAATACAAGGTGTTTTGGTCACAAAAAGGATAAAACACTACTAATAGGGTTCACAAGTAAAGCCAAGGAAATCACTCAAAACGCTACTTCCAGCTTGCCAGCAGTTTTGTACCATCTCTGTTATTGCCTTTATGTTGAAGGAAGGCGACTGTGTTTGGTTTGAAGTGATAACCAGAGCCCTAAATTGTTGTCCAAAGGTAAAGCTCTGGAGGCCAGTCTGAGGGAGAAGAGGATGGTGAACACAGGCACCCAGTGTGGGAAGCAGGCCCTCACATCCACTGGCTCCAACCACCAGAGGAGACCCAGACGCTCCCTCAGTGATGTAGGTGTCGCTAGTAGCAGGCATTGGCATGTGTGACTGTTAAATATGAACACCAACAGCCTCTGTCTTTGCACACATGGTGACTTGCAGGTTTGTGAGAACCAACAGCATGACATAACTGCGCCTGTCCTCTTGCATTACATGTGCAGCCCTTGGAAATCAGTCTGCCAGGTTGCTCTGCAGAATTGGTATCACCTTTGTAAAGACCCCGCTTGTCGGTAGCTTTCAGTATATTTATACTGATGCAGCAAGCATTTTTGTTCAGTTTATTTAACCTTTATTTGAGCAGGTAAGTCCCACTGAAGTTAGAAATCTCTATTCCAAGAAAAATCTGGCCAAGATGGCAGCATGAAGAGTTGCACATAAAACAAATCAAAATCAGGCAGCAGATTAAACAATAGTTAAAGATAACAATACTAAACACTGATAGTTTTAGTAGTAGTAGTTATAACACTGATAGTTAGTTATTTATACATTTAGAGGCAGATGTTTCAGAAAGATTTAAAGACAGACAAAAATAAGCAACAATGTTGTTCACAGGCTGGAGCTGGACAACAACTGAATAGTAGCTACAGCATGTCAGGGCCACTGTGCACTTTTTAGGATGGGGTACAAGTAGCGCAAGGGAGCAAGGCAGGGCAAAGAATGCTGGAATATATTATATGTATTACATATTATGTGGATGGATAATAAGTTACTCTATATAAAGAGGAGTAGAGCTGAACACGAATTGAATTGATTAACAGAAAATTAACTGTTTTGATGAAATGTGAGGATTTGCTGCTCCTCATCATCATATATGACTGAGAACCATAGACTGTATATAAAAACTGGATATATTTGTGTTTTGGACTGTAAGTGGGGAAATTCAAACAAGTCACTCTGAGGTTTTTGATCTTGTGATGGACATTTTATTGATTAAATGATTAGGTGAAACATTAACACTAGATTGATCAATAATGGAAAAAAAAGTATTAGTTGCAGCCCAGCGTGGGCTGTCACTTCTCAGTCAATTAGTAAACTAAAATGAATGTGTTTGTATTAGGGCCGATTGATGATTGGATAAAACAAGGAACAAGAAGTATAATATATAATTGGCAGTTTTCACTATTACCACTTTTGTTAAAGAAAAACAAGATAATCAATAATGAAAATAGGAATTAGTTTTACTTACAGATAGTTACACAGTATGCAACCTAACAATTTTCCTATGTATCAATATTTGAGTGTCTTTTCCAAAGACAATTTTGTCCAAATTTCTGCAGCTGTAAGTACAAACAGTGAACACTGAGAATAAAAAGTATTCTGGAACAACAACACATATAGGCCATAACATTTTCTTCCAACAATCAGTTTGCCTTATCTTTTATCTTGAGTACTAACTGCACAAAAGAAACTGAGTGCAGACACTGTTATCTGCTCCAAATCCTTTAATACATTAAAAGGCTTTAATAAAATTGACACAGAAAGAGACATACAGATATAACTGTATGGACACTTTTATTCTGCATGTTTTAAATTCAGATTGGGATCTGTTGAGGACTGAGTTGTAAATGTTTTTTGTTCTTTATAAAACTCATTTAACCATTCAAAAAGCAAATTACTCCTTACCTTGGCTGATATTTTCAGCGACTCGGAAACATACACTGTTGTATTTTATTTGTTTAACCTTCCACTTATAGGCAGAGCTTCAGTGACTCAGATCCAGGTTGGACTTCTTTGCCCACTCGCTCTCTGTCCAGTGTGGTGACATTTAAATGACGTGACATTCAAAATCTTACATCTTTTTTGCAGCAAACCACCCGTGACTCCAAAAGGAAGGCATCAAAGGACGCCAGTGCTTTGTCTAAGGATGGGCAGCCTGTCAATATCAACAACAGTGGAGACGCTGAACCTGGGAACGTGTGTGACGAAAGATGAAGACAAACCGTGACTCTGTGAAGAGGAAGATGGCCGGAGCTGTGGGCGGTTCACTGGAAGTTGGGACGGTGATTTACAGAGAGTGTGTGGATGATGTTTGCTAGTGACTTTGCAAGATCTTGGCTGTCAATCTCAGTGATTTTACAACATAAGCACCTGCATATGTCTCCATCCAAAGATCTTGGGATGCTGCATCTTTGTTGTGCCATTGCAAATGCATGTGTGAAGCAGAGAGTGGGTCACAAACGGTGTGCACGCTCTCCACCATGCTTTTCTCCCATGCTTGTGGTGCCGGTCAGGGAATGTGTCACCATGCTAAGCCAATTTAAAAAAACAAAACAAGAACAGACCGCCCCATATGCACATGATAATCACTATCTGCACATCAAATGTTATCTGTGTGGGGCCTTCTTAAAGAATTTGCTTCAGTTCTTTGTGCAAGTATATTCCTTTTGTTGTGAATGAAAAACAGTAGTGTGGGAACCAATGACGATACTGTTTAACCTCAGTCAATGCTGTAAATGATTTTCATTTAGAAGACCCTGAAGTGCTGTTTAGGAACTGAGATTCGGAGGTTTGACGCTTGAAGGCTGAAGACTGTCTTTTCCAGCCTTTTGCAAGATAAAGAAACAAATACACCCGCATGTGCCTACAATTCATCTTGATCTGAACTGCTCCTGTTTTCCCTTTGAGAGTTAGTTTTTATTAAACTTTGTTAAGTGTTATGTGTTCTCCAATCTTAAATCTTCTTTTGTTATATATGATGTTACACTTGATTATGATGTGTCATTTGTGTGGCTTACACTGCTCTGCATGTATAAATCAATTCGGCATCGACTCTGTCTCCAGCTGAACATGATCAAAAGCAAGCTGTCTGGAATAAAGCATTTTGCCTCTTTGGCACACATGAAAATAGAAAAACTGCACTATGAAGTACATCAAAGTGAGATTTGTGGTCAGCAGATGGCGTTGTTGACCAGCTGTGCTCTTACTAATTGAAGACCTCATGAGGATTTGACAGCAACCACTTAAAGGAAACCATTGATTTAAGAGAAGATGTTCAGTTCAGTTTCTGCATGTGATAACTGTTGTCAAGAGTTTTTGATGATTCACAGGGGTGATGATGGTGAAATGTGTAAAGGCCAACTTTTGCGATGAAAAACATTTTAACACACAGGCTCTACCACATTTTTCTTCTCTGAATTAAAATTGGTGTCACCTTATTGAGTTGTGAAAACCTGAATGAAGTGATGTGTGCTGTCATTCTCGTCAGCTTTGGCAGAATGAATTAGCCTCAATAGACCAATGCTTTGTGTTATTTTCTTTTTATTCATGGATGTAATTATATACCTTGTTAAATACTTTCAGATATACAGTTCTCTCATTGTCCTTTACCAAGACCACAATCACATGAGTTGATTACAGTAATATTATGTTTGCTATCACTACTACTGGGCCTACTACAAAACCAACATTTATTTTTTTTATTTTTGTATTATTTTTTGGTTTGTATGTATTTATTTATTGTAGGTTAGTCCAAAATACTTACAGAAAATATGTACACATATTAGATTGAGAACATAACAAAAAATAGATATTTTTTCCCCCAGTGAAATAAAAACAGTCACCTTTCTGAAGTTTAACTGGAATATTGATCATTTGGGACTCAGGTACATTCGAGAGCAGACAGCAGTCTGCAAACTGACTGATAGGGCCTAATGTAACATGATAAGATAAATAGTTAAAGACAATTTTTGTTCAGTACACTGGTATAAAACATCTTGATAATCAGACTAGAGCTACGTCACAGTCAGCAGAAGATGGACCTCTGGTAAAGAAAATGTGTAGAGCTAGATGAGTATAGGAAACTGAACTTTCCAAATTGATTAGAAGAACTTGATATTAATAATAGCCAGTGGTGAAAGAGATATAAAGATCTTTTAATTGTGTTTAATAAATGTAGTAATATTGCAGTACAAATGTCCTCAATCACAAGAACAATTTCTGCATTTACAAAATTAAACATTAACAGTTAAAGTATCAAAAATAAAATGAGTCCCCTTTTAATCCAAAACGGCCCCTTATATTATTATATTTACTGTATTAATTGATTATGTTTACTGATTACCATGTACGCAGCATATAGTGTTGATGGATGAAAGTGAGCTTGTTTTTAACTACTGCTAAAAGTAACTACTTTTAAAAGGCTATATTCTGTTTGGTAGATTAATCATTAATTATTATACTTGTTTTTATAACACAACTTTATGTTTAGTACAGTTTAAAATCTTAACTGCAAAGTTCAGTAAAATGAGAATTAGTCCTCCAGCACAAGATACAGACCAAGAGGTAAGAAAAAGAGATAAAGAAGGAAAATAAAAAGGAAATTTATGGAAATTAGAGAAATGACATTTTAAAAAGTATGTACATTATAATACCTTGGACTATATAAGGGAATTGTGCTACTATTTATGCAAAAGAAATTCAGAAATCAAGTAACTACTGTCAAATAAAAGTAGTGGAAAAGAAATAAAATGCAGCATAAAATGGAATTATAATGTAAATTTTAGCCCCCAAGGAACACAGACTTAGTTGAGGTCACCTGGTAAGTGCTTCAGTGCGAGAGGCTTCGGTGGCCCAAAATGGTAGAGTTCAACACATCACCTTGTCTTGATGATGCCAAAACATGTTACCTACTGTTATGGGTTTGGGACTATATTTACTTTCTTCACATTTCTGTAAATCAGTAGTTGCTCCTGCCATGTTCGTTTATCTTTTTTTTTTTTAAGGCATCTGGGCTTCCCCTGGTAACCGTGTGTCACGTCACACCACTATGCACTATTCCCTCAGGCCAAAGGTGGGGATATAAAGGCTCAGATTAGGGGCGTGATGAAACATTTAAGTCATGAGGGAATGATGCACGAGAACAAGACAAGAAGATTTTTAGCACTATTTAGATTAAATATTTGATGTGGAAATATATGTGCGGGGAGTCTGGGGGTCCTCCCAGAGTATTAAACTCGTAATTTCCTGCATTCTGGAGACATGTTCTGCTCCAATTTACGGTGGAAATGTCTGTTTTTATATGAGGGAAAACTATATTGCATTGCATGTTTTCTTATTGTGCAAATAAACCTTTTCTCAAAGAATTTTCATTTGTTAGTTAACATTTCTTGGTGCAAGGTATTTTTCAGAACATGTTTAAAAAATGCTTTCAAAAAGTGATGGGGACTAAATCAGCCATTTCAAAATGTGGTGGGGACATGTCCCCAGCGTCCCCAGTCCACAATGTAAATTACCCCTATACCTCAAGCAAAGTCTGTAGAGACTTATGGGAAGTGTGCATGAAGGCCTCAAAAGGTCTGCTAGAGACACATAGTGCACTTGACATTTGACAGTGGGACAGCCCTTAGCAGGGGCCTAGCACATAAACATTCTCTATGGGCCCCTCCCCGCATCTAAGGCTATTCGTTGGAGTATCTTTGTGGGCCTCCTTACATGAGGACCTTGTATACTTAGTCCCTTACCCCCCTCAGTCCAACACCACTGGCCCTAAGCCCTTGTGGCCTAAGGCCTTATGGATGTGAGTCCATAGTGTGGAAATTGGGATTCAACCATGGACTTTATTTTATTTTATTTTTATGTTATTTTAGAGAACATATACATTAACAGTGGGCTATATACACAAAAACTATCCATGTCAGGGGTACATAATAAATGAAAGACAAGAAGAGTAAAACACAAGAAATTAAAACAGTAAAACATATTTAAAATACTCTATCATCGGTCCATAAGAAATCTGTCAAACACGTAATTAGTCTTCAGGTTCAGCCATGGCCTACACACCTGATGGCGATGATGATTTCCGCTTGCAGCTGAAGTTGATTGAAACGACGGGCACTGAGACCACGCGGAACGTGCCGTCAGCTATCTGTCGCTCAACCGTTGCTCTTCGTTCATACAGGAGATATAACTGCTGATCGAGAGGTTAACGGCTGATTCTGTGTTGCTGCGTAAAATATTAACACAATCCCCGTTTGTTTCTTCTCTTTTCACGTTATGTGGTTACAATGATGTGAGGATGGCCAAGCGACCGGGGACTGACGACGGGATGTTGCCTTCGCCGACCGCTCTCCGGGAATTCGCAGCCGATTTGAACGCCGCGGACGTGAACATGGACAGCGGCGACGGGGCCGTTGAGGTCTCCTTGGAAGAAATCCTGAAACTGTACAGCCAGCCGATAAACGAGGAGCAGGCGTGGGCAGTGTGTTACCAGTGTTGTCGGACATTAGCACAGAGGCAGCGGAGGAAAAGCTCCAAATCTGCCGGAGCTTCAGCGGTCGACTATCCGAGGAGGATTGAGGGACCCGGGGATGTGAGGATCGGGAGAGACGGGACTATCAAACTGCACTTTGAAGACGGCACAGGTAAACGAACCGAGACCTGCCAGGTGTCGCGATTTAAGGTTATACTCAAACACGTGTCTGGTTTGAGTACCTGCGCAGCGAAAACGACAAAGATATCTCAACTGCCAACGATGAATCATTTTCCTTCACATCACTGGCAGGCCAAACCATCGGAGCATCCTCACACAGAGGCCATATTGTTGTGGCTGTCTGCCTTCAGCCATGTGGTGAATTTGTTTACAGACACCCGATGCGTTTGTTAATAATGCATCATAGATCCGCATGGCTGCTGGGAATGAAACACACCAAGCGCGCTGTATTTATATTTATTAACAGACAGGGGTTTGTTCTCGCAGCAGAATGTGATATTTTATAAACATGCTTCATGTTATTGCTTCATTCACAAGGGTGTGTCTGCAGGGTTGCTTCAGTATGGCTGCTTTGGGTTAGTGTTTTAAAAAAAAAAAAAAAATTATAATGCTCCTGCAGCGGTCAGTTAGCTACAGTAAACGGTGATTAACTGGCTAACGGCCAGGGCACAGATGACTCACGTTGCCGCCAACAGCCTCCATTATGTATGTTGTGACATTGAGGTAAAGGAAGATTAATGTGTGGGCTGCATGCACCCGAGGGAGATTTTAAACGCAATGGAAACACGTTTTGATATACAGTAGTTTTGTTAAAAAGGATGGGAGCTGAAGTAGACCCAATCAGCTGACTGTGGTCAACTTTCCTGCAGGTTTGTCTTCCACCATGCCTGTTTACCTCAGCGCTGATAATGAGTCATTGATCAGTCATTTAACAGAAAATTAATTGGCAACAATTTTGATCATTCTCATAAGCAAAAATGACAACTTCTCAAATGTGAATTTTTATGATGGTAACTTGAGTTTGGGACTGTTTGTTGGACATAAAACATGTGATATGAAGCTACCTTGGGTTTTCTGCTATATTCTGACAGTTTATAGCCAGAACATAATTTGTCAATGAAAGAAATAATCACTTTCAGACTTATCTAACCCTAATGTACCTGACAACAGGTTACCCATCTGGGCATCTAGGCAGTTAATGGATTATATCCACTCCAAATGACTTGACATGGCTATTTTAATATAGTAATGTGTAGATTTACACCTGGAAGGCAAATTGAAAGCAATCAACTTCTAGAAAAACTACCACTACTCCTGGCTCTCAAGGACCAGTGGTGGAAAAATGGCTCCAGATTAGACGTCAACCCTGAAAACCAACACATCTGAGACCCTGTAATGTATTTTCTAAAGCACATTCTCAATTTGAAGGGGCTTCCAGCAAACTTTGTTCCAGTGCGCCAGTTCAGGTGCAGCATGTCTCAAAGCCTTGCACCCTTTTAACTGCACTACATTAATGTGTGAGGGGTGGGGTGGCTGTTGGCGAAGCCTCAGGCACCGAGGTTTGGTCCTGCCTCCTGTGAACTTATTAGCCTGACCTAACCGCCCGGTCCAGCTCTCCTTCATCAGCATATTCAACCGACCAGTAATGTTTGCTGTGTGTGGAAATTACACTCTCAGTATAAGTCAGTCAGCCCGTGAGAATCATGGCACTGCCAGGAATAGAACAAACGTGATGATTAGATGCACAGTCTGATTGCAGATGAGTTTGGAGATTATAGGGAGAGTCCTCTGCTGCTCCTCTGGCTGGTGGCTGATGTATTTTGGGACAGCTTGGCCCTGTCCTGATTCCTATTAGGCCTGGTGATGAGAGAGATGTGAGACTCATTAAGCTTTCGGTAGCTCAGCCGCTTGTTTAAGAGGTTACCCCAGCAGAGGGTCCGATGCTTA